TTGCCCATTGTAAAGCCAACACCTACGACTAGTTTTTCCGCTAATTAAATTTTCTCCAGACTATTCAAATTAGTTAATTTAATTAATACAATTAGAAATTTGAAAAAGCTTTATTCAGAGGCTGGCTCTAGGTGTTCCATTACAATTCTGAACTCCAATAACAGGGAATTACGCTACATTTCACAACAATCACCTGTTGTCAGTTTGTATTTTAGAGACGTAACTATTGTTTTAAGTCAATATTGTAATTCGACACCATTCGACAATGTCAATTGTGGTTTTTGTTGTTGTTGTTGTTGTTGTTTTTTTCCGAACATTTATTCCGTTGCCTAGAACAATTGCATTGCCATTAATTATGTCATTTCTTTCGAAAATACAATTTCAGTAAATTTTGTATTTCTTTTTTAGATTTTATCAATGACGTTATTCCATTATCGAAAATTAAAACAAAACAATCAATAATCAGAAATTTCAAATGTTTCTACCCAAACATGTCGAACTTATCGCTACTACTACTGTATAATATATATGTTGTATCTGTCACTTAAATATATCAAAAGATTTTAATTTGATTTATAAAGATTTGGTCAAACCAAAACAACCACTTGAGATTATATGCCACGATGAGTGCCATAAATTAAAACTATTCTAGATTATGGGAAATGTGTAGTTTTGAAATTGTTGAGAGGGGTTGTGGCACACACAATCTCGACGAGTGCACGGTATAATCCAAAGACCTAAATGCAAGAGGGTAAAAACCTCAACTGGATCGAAAATCCATAATTGAATGACTGACTTAAAAATTCATAAACGCCCAGATGAAACGGCTGAAGCTAGAAATTTTGGGCGAGGGTCACTCTTGGTCCGTAGGTGTCAGATAAGTCTTGGTTTTTTGGGAAATACATACTCAAACTGTACGGAGAGTACTAAATATGGCACCATTCGTATTTGACGGACAAGTAGAGACCAGTGGAGAATTTTTAGATTTGGTATGAGCACCACTGTTGGAGGCTTTCTGAAATTCGCACTATAAATGTACGAAAAATACTAAAATGTACAGGGTTGCCCATATTCGACGGACCCATGACTCTTTGGGACCATTCCAATCGACGAGACTTGTCCGCAGGCAACATTCTTTGTGTCAATTAAATTTTGTACGGGAACAAATGCAAATCAATGCGAATAATCCGTTGTAAAGTGGACCGAGCCATGCCCAACTGCTGAGAACGGCGTTTTTGGGATGTTATTGGGGACCTCTAAACACTGGCTCGTACGGCAGCGATATTCTCGGCCGATCGCCTTGGCCGACTTTTATATGGCCTCTTCAGATTAGAAAGAGCCTTACCAGTCGAAATTTTTTCGTATAAACGCTTAATGGTGTTCTTAGAAGGCGCACTTCTCACATTTTTTAATGTTTCAAAAGCGCGTTGAGTTTTCACAATTTAATTCTTCTGTTGAATGTAAATTTCAACTATTTCAGAGCGCTCGCGTGGCGTGTATTGGTTGATGGTAAAAATCTGCCTGGACTGACGCTTTAAACGCGGTATGTCATTAAGCGATGTGACATCTCTGTCAAAAGTTATGGTGTTGCCAGATGGGTCCGTCGAATATGGACAACCCTGTACTATATTTGGTACGATTTCTATATTATTAAAGGAGTAAACTAACTGATTGACTGACTGATTTAAATGTGTGGTGACTTGAAAATTCGTACTAGAACGGTACGAAAAATACTAAATTTTGGTACTATATTTGGTACCATTTCGTATCATGCGAACGGTTAGAGCCAAAAACTTAAAATTTGGAATGGGAATCAAGGCTAAGGAGTAAAAGAGGTAGTTTTGGAAGTGTATACTCATGTAGACGAAAAGTACTAAACGGTACTAAAATTTAGTACAATTTGAATTTGGAGAAACCGATAGAGATGGAATCCTGAAATTTGAAATTAACATTACAAGCGGAGTGTTGGATTGGGGTATAAAGGTGGCTTTAGAAATTTGTACTTATGTGCACTAAAATAACTAAAATGTACTAAATTTGGTACAATTTCGATTTGGGTGAAATTTAAAATTAAGATTACTATTGCATTCTAGGACTGAGGAATGTATGTAGTTTTGAAAAATCGCACTTAAGTGTACTAAATGGTACTAAATTTTGGTACAATTCAAATTTTGGCTGAACCGGTAGAGTTGGAATCGTGAAATTTGAAAATAAGGTTTCTTGTGGACTGTAGTTATGGAAATTCGTACTTATGTGTAATAAACGGTACTAAAATAAATAGTACGTCGTTTGATACAATTTTATTTTTTGGGTGAACAGATAGTGCTTGAAATCTGAAATTTGATCGCTGTCCATAAGGATCGCTGTCCATGTGTAGCCTGGACATATAGAGGTGGTTTCGGAAAAAGTACTGAGTGGTACTATATTTTTTATTGAGTGAAGGGATAGGATACAATTCTGAAATTTGATATTTAACTTATTGTTGGTGTCTGTGTTCGAAATTTGGCGATGGTTTGAAAATACGTCCTATATTTGTACGAAAAGTACTAAATTTGGTACTGGGTGAAGGGATAAGGCTGATATCCTCAATTTTTGGAAATTTATCTTATAATTATTCGAAAAGTACTAAGTGGCACCAAATTGGGTATTGAGTGAAGGATTAGAGTTGGAATTCCGAAATTTGATATTGAGGTCTATGTTGGTATCTGGTGGTGATGCGTTATATAATTGTTCGGAAATTACTAATGGGAAGTAGAGGGCACTAACTAGTCTCAAAATATATTTATAGGATACAGACTTCGCTTAATATTCAATTTATACTTTGAAAATTTTTAATTTTTTTTCTTTTTTTTTTTTTTGAGAATTGGTCTAAAACAGTTATTTTGATGAGGCACATTTTGGCTGAATCAACTGAAAAATACCCTCTACTGAAATAAGGCTGAGGGTATCGTTAGATGCTGAGAGTATTATATATATTTACCTACTATTTTATGTAAACTATGAACTAACCCGTATTTGTTACGGGAAGCACCTCTGCCAAATATTCAAGGTGCTGTTTTGGTGTCATATAGTCAACTCCGAACGATTTTGGTCTGTTTTTATTTGTTAGAGGTCATATATCTATGACGTCTTAGTTAACCGTATATGGCATACCTTTGCCATTTACTGTGCTCTATATTTAAAATTGTTATCTCACATCCATAAAGTAAATCCGAAAGTCACAGGTCAAAACCTACTGGCTATAAAGTAATAGCATTTTATAATATAAGGCGAAAATCTCCTCTCATAAATCACAACGTGTGTTTGGGGCCACAAAACATATTTAGAAGATCGCTGGATTTAATTTCAGCTATTTTTACTCGGAGGTGTTTATTTTTATGCAGATTCTAATCTAATCTTTGTAGATCTTGCAGATGATAATGTCGATGGGTGCTATGATATTTATATAGATGATGGTGGGGGGAAATTTTTCTCACAAACCCCATGACCTTAGAAAAAAACGAATGGGTACCACCTGATACCCTGCACGTAGGTTAATAAAGTATCATTGGCAAATAAAGGTCTAGGCGGAACTTGGAGATCGCTTCTAAATTTTATAAATATTTCAAATTTAGTATTTAAAGTTCGTAATGGCTACTACAGGCTATGGCAGAAAATTGTCCGTGCAGGTTCACGTCTTCGTATAGCCCCCATAAAAATGGTGCCTCCCGATATTCGGTATTTTGATGATTTTAGCGGCATTATTCACCGGAATTTGGTATTTGAAGTTCGTAATGGATATTACAGCCTATGACAGAAAATTGTCTGTGCAGGTTCACGTCTTCGTATAGCCCCCATAAAAATGGTGCCTCCCGATATTCGGTATTTTGATGATTTTAGCGACATTATTCACCGGAATTTGGTATTTGAAGTTCGCAATGGATGCTACAACCTATGACAGAAAATTGTCTGTGCAGGTTCACGTCTTCGTATAGCCCCCATACAATGGTACCTCCCGATATTCGGTATTTTGATGAATTTAGCGACATTATTACCCAGAAATGTTTCAAATTTTGTATTTAAAGTTCGTAATGGCTACTACAGCCTATGGCAGAAAACTGTCTGTGCAGATCCACGCCTTCGTATAGCCGCCATATAACGGCACCTCCAGATATTCGGTATTTTGATGATTTTACTGACATTATTCACCGGAATTTGGTATTTGAAGTTCGAAATGGATCCTACAGCTTATGACAGAAAATTGTCTGTACAGGTCCACGTCTTCGCATAGCCTCCATGGTACGGTACGGTACGATATTATGATGATTTTAGCGATATTATTCACCGGAAATGTTTCAAATTTAGTATTTAAAGTTCGTAGTGGCTACGACAGCCTATGACAGAAAATTGTCTGTACAGGTCCACGTTTTGGTAAAGTCTCTATATAATGGTAGCTCCATATGTTCTGTATTTTGATGATTTTAGCTACATTATTCATCGATTTTCTTTTCAAGTTTCGCATCTGAATATTGTAATGGCTTATGTCAAAAGTTGTCTATGCAGGTCAATGTCGTCGTATGGACCCCAATATAACAGCTACATATGGTATTTTTAAGATATTAACAAAATTTTTAAGGGATTTTATTTTATTTTTTTTTTTTTTTTTTTTTTTGAAAATTGCCAAATTCGTTCCAAATTGAGGCGTGTATTCGAAGTTCGGCCCAGACGAAATTACAGCTGTTTTTTGTTGCCTTATATTTCCAAAAGTTTAGAAGTTAAGAGTCATAATCTACTAAGACGAATTTTGTAGATATAATCATTTAGTGGCTTATTACAGCACTCACACATAGTCTAATTAAAAATACTAAGCCCATAAAAAAAGTAAAATAAACATAAATACTGTCCTATTTTCTGGTAATCACACATTTGAGTTACACCCCCGTACACCCTCTACATGTCGTAAACAATAACATTAAAAATAATACATTTTTATTTCACATTTGTTTTTAATAAATATTTACCTGATAAGCATTGAGATGTAATAACGGCAACTAACACAGTTAAATACAGCATCATTTTGTTTGCATTTGTTGTTGTGGCAGCCATAATTTATGTGAAGTTTAGTTTTGTTGTTGTTATTATTATCTTAAAAATATATATATTTAAGCACTATTCTATTGCGTTTATCACAAGATCTGTTTTATTTTCTCTTTTCTTTCACTCTTTGGTCTCGCTGATCACTTTAAGTTGTCAAAATTTCAATCTCCCAACTGTTTACATTACGACGTTGAATGAAATCTGTAAATAAATTGTGGAAAAATAACATATTAAATATTAAAAAAAAATAATATATTAAATATTTTTATTATTTTTTGTTTATATGAAGATGTTGAATAATAAATTTGTTAAATTTTAACAGAATGTAAATAAAATGGGACAATTTTTATGAGATGTAAATCATGCAAAGTGAGTAATACACTTAGAAACCAGTAAGGAAAAGTCAAAAGTCGGACGGGGCCGACTATATGATGCCCTATACCACTATGCATATTTAGTAGAGCTCCCGTAACCTCAGCATTTGGCTATAGAGCAGCTACAACTTGGTTTCAGAGGGTACTAATATATGCGAGGCATATCCAATTCGGAATCGATTTTCACTAAATTTGACGAAGACATTTTTATACCTTATGTGTTTTGGAGGTTTTATAAGTTTGATTGGGCCAAAATGTATGTAACACCACGAAATATTGGTTTCCCATATAGGAAAGTATATATGGATCTTCCTATCTCGCTGAGCTGAGTCGATCTAGCTATGTATGTCCGTCCGTCCATCTGTCCATGTTGTGGCCCGATCTTCACGATATTTAGAATGGAGGTGGGGCTAGGGCCAGAATAGATGCCTATTGCTTTTGGAGATAATCGCATAATATTTAGGAGTTGAAATGAAATGAAAAATTTCTTGATTTTGATCGAAGCGGAAGTTAGCATGTGGCTCGGGCTTAGGGCTTCTAATTCCAATTTTTATGGTCGTCAGGTAATATTTAGAGGGTGAAATAGGCCATAACATTTGTGTTAAGTAAAATTCAAATTTTCCATTAAACTGCGAATATTTTTAATCCCGACGAAATCACAAATAGACAAACAGGTCAATCCTGACCGTTGCGTAGATGCCGATAGTAAATATATCGGATATGTAGCGAAATATATACAATGTATTTAAACAAAAGAAGGGTATGTTAGCTAGAATGCAAATTTTTAATTTTTAATACGTGGAGTGGGCAAAAAAAACATTTTTATATAAAAGTATCTGAACTCAAACGTGTTCTACTTAAAAATAAAAATACCAATAAGACCATTTGGATAATTCTGTTAAACTTTTCAAAAAAAAAAAAAAAAAACACAAAAAAAAAAACGGGAACCTCTATAGGCAATTTTATACTTCAAAAACTGTCATCTATCAAATCTTCTTAAATAGCAAATTAGAAACAATTTCGGGAGGTACCTGGACCTCTATATACTATGTTCCGCCACCATAGCTAGAACACATTACGAACTACAAATACCAATTTTTAGACAAATCCGTAGAAAACTGTGATAAAAATCATCAAAATAACGAATATTGGGAAGTATCGTGGTATAGAGGTAATACAGCAACGTGGACCTATACATACAATATTTCGCCACCGGAGCTAGAACCCATTACGACTTACAAATACCAATTTTTAGACAAGTCTGTGAAAAAATGTGGGGAAAATAATAAAAATACCGAATATTGGGACGTGATCGTTATATGGACCGATATATCTCATTTTCAATACCAACCATCCTAGATACAACACAAATTATTCCGGCAAATTTTAAAGCTCTACGTCAAATAATGTAGGCTGTATCGTGACTTCAACCGGCAGACGGACATCGTTAAATCGACTTAGAATTTTATGCTGATCATGAATATATATAATTTATGGGGTCTCCTACGAATATTTAGGAATGTTAAAATGAACAAGTAAAAAAGCTGTAAGTTTGGCCGGGCCGAACTTTTAATACCCTCCACCATTTGGTACAAATTTGACAATTTCCAAAAAAAAAAATAAATAAATAAAATCCGTTAAAAATTCTGTTAAAATCTTAAAAATACCGAATGCCTATACGACGACGTGGACCTGCATAGGCAACTTTTATCATAAGTTATTACAATATTTAAATGCGAAACTTGAAGAAAAATCTGTTTATAATGTAGCTAAAATCATCAAAACACCGAATATCGGGGGGTACGGTATATGGGGGCTATACGAAGACGTGGACCAACATGGCCCATTTTCTGTTTTATGCTGCAGCATCTATTACGAACTTCAAATGCCAACTTTGAAACGATTCCGGTAAATAATGTCGCTAAAATCATCAAAATACCGAATATCAGGAGGTACCGTTGCATGGGGGCTATATTATAACTTGGGCCTACATGGCCCATTTACGAACTTAACCTGCCTACTGGCAAAATATACATGTGTGCAAAATTTTAGCCTTCTATCTCAATTCGTTCGAAAGATAGCGTGATTACAACAGGCAGACGGACAGACAGACAGAGGGACGGACAGACAAACAGACGGACATCGCTAAATGGACATAGAATAGTTGGGTTTAACTTGGGTATTTCAAGGAGTTAGAAACGGAATGACAAAGTTAATGGGCAATAAGAGACCTCAAAGTCCTCTAAAAATACTTTTGCCATATTTTATCGACCTCAAGGTCCCCTATGGACCATAGGAGATCTCAAACCCCCTATGGACAAAAGGAGACCTGAAAGTCTTTTAGAAATACCTTTTCTTAAGTGTATCGATCTCAAGGTCCCGTATGGACAATAGGAGACCTCAAAGTCCTCTAGAAATAAAGTTTCTAAGGTTCCCCATGTACAATAGGAGATCTCAAGATCCCCTGTGGACAATAGAAAACCTCAAGGTCCTTCATGGACAATATACGCCGAGGTGTAGGTTATCATAAAATGTTGAAAATGTTTAACTTTTGTGAGGGAGGTACCAAAAACAAGTAAAAACATTAAGTTCGGCCGTTCCGAATTTTTAATACCCTCCACCATTGGGTAAATAAAACATGTTTATATAAACGTATCTGAATTCAAACGTTTTCCACTTAAAACTACAAATGCCAATAAGACCATTTGGATAATTCAGTTAAACTTTTCAAAAAACACATAAAGTGGACGAAGGCGTTATATAGGGCCATACCAAAACGGGAACCTCTGGTACCTCCCCCACAAAGGGTCACAATTTTGAATATCCATGAAGCTCTTTAAAAGCATTCAGACTTGGCACATCTCAATATTTCTATCAACACAAGATCTATTAGAGAATGGGTAGAGATCGGACCATTCCTTCTGATACCTCCCACACAAAGGGACGAAGTTTTGAATAACCAAAACGATTATAAAATGCAAAATTAGCATCTGGTTGCTTTCATACTTCACACATTATTCCATCCATCGATACAAGATATGTTACGAAGATGGGAGTATATAGGACGATTTCTTCTGCACCTCCCCCACATGGGGCTCAAACGCTAAAAGAAAGCGAAATAAGCATCCAACACTCTTCAAATTTCACACACAAACATTTTTGCTAACACATGGTCTATTGTGAAGATGATATATATCTGCGAAACCCTTCTGGTACCTCACGCACAAAGGGTCACAATTTTCAGTACTTTTATCTATCAAAATTTGCGAAACAATTTGCTAGAGGCTGTATATCTGTCGACAAATCTGATTGACTTTTTATACCCTCTGTCATGGAGGGTATATTAAGTTCGTCATTCCGCTTGTAACTCGTCGAAATAATCATTTTAGACATAACAAAGCACATATATTCTTGATCAGTGTAAAATTTTAAGCCCTGTCCGCAAGTCTGTTCTGATCACGTTAGGGTCAAAACGAATAAAGATAGGAAGCTGAATTTTTGCACAGATCTGTGTTTTGTCACATTATTCAATGGAATTGTCTGAAATTCTACAAAAGGAGTTCCTTCCGAGTACTTTGCCCCCTGAAAGAGTATTGTCTATATAGATCCATGATATCATATATCCTCCATATAACGGTACCTCCCGATATTCGGGAAGTTCCTTCTAAGCAATTTACCCCCCGGAAGAAAAATGTCCACGATATCGTATAGGCCAAATACAACAGTAGATCCCCCTCCCCCGGTATTCGGCATTTCATGATTTTAGCGACATTATTTACCGCAATTGTTTCAAGTCTGGTATTTCAAGTTCGCAATGGCCTGTGACAGAAAATTGCCTTAAAGCCCCGATATAACGATATCTCCCAATATTCGGTATTTCGATTATTTTACAGACATTTTTCACCGGAGTTGTTTTAAATTTCGTATTTATAGTTCGTAATGGGAACTACAGTCTATAGCAGAAAATTGTCCATGCAGGTCCTGGTCTTCATATAGGCCCCATATATAATAGTACCTTCCTATATTCGGTATTTTGACGATTTTTGCGACATTCACCGGAATCATTTTAAATGTTTTATTTGAAGTTCGAAATAGATACTACAGCTTAACACAGAAAATTTTTTATGCAGGTCCAGGTCTTCGTATAGCCCCCATATAACGGTACCTCCCTAATTCGGTATTTTGATGATTTTAGCAACATTATTCACTGGAATTCTTTCAAATTTGGTATTTGAAGTTCGAAATATATACTAAAGCCTATGATAGAAAATTTTTTATTCAGGTCCCGGTCTTCGAATAAGCCCAATATATAAGAATCTCCCTATATTCGGTATTTTGACGATTTTAGGTAGAATATTCACCGGAATTGTTTCAAATTTCGTATTTAGAATTCGTAATGGTCTATGAGAGAAAATTGTCTATGCAGGTCCACGCCTTCGTATAGCCCCCATATAACGGTACCCCCAATATTCGTAATTTTGATAATTTTATCTTCAATATTCACATACTACAGCCTCTGACAGCAAATTGTCTGTGCAACTCCACCTCTTCGTATAGACCCCAATATAACGGCTATATTAGGTATTTTTAAGATTTCAACAGACTTTTTAAGGAATTAATTATTATTATTATTTATTTATTATTTTTTCTTTTTCTTTTTTGAAAATTTCCAAATTCGTTCCAAATGGTGGAGGGTATTCAAAGTTCAGCCCGACCAAAGTAACTTTAAATTTTTTCTATATTTAAAAAAAAAAATACACTTTACTAATGGGGTTTCCGAGGAATGAATTTAATATACTCGTATAGTGTCCATGTCGGAGGGCATAAAAATAACTCTTCCTACTTTGTTCTAAAATAAGTAGTGACTCCCAGAAACTGTCATATTTCTTTTACTACAAAATCATAAAAAAAAAATTATTTCTGAAGGAAATGAACGAATTTCCGCAGGTCACCACTTCACTGCATCAAAAAATGCTTGTTTAAAATTTTTAATTTAATAATCAAGTGTAGAAATTTGTGTTTAAATTGTCTTAACGCCTGCACATTTTTCATTTTTTAAATAACTGAGGAAATATGCCAACAACAACAAAGAAACACACACACTTAAGACGCTGCAACTAAAACCGTAATTACAGAAAATGTTTGAGACGATAGGAATTGGAATTTCTTAAACGCGACACACAATAATAATGAGAACTAACACACATTAGATTAGCTTGACAGTTTTGAAAAAAAAAACTCAAAAGAAAAACAAAACAAGACTGGCGGACTGACCAACTGCATTCGAAATGCAGTAGCCACACAGTACAACAGTTCGTTCGAACACCAGTCAACGTACTTTTTATGAATTCAATTTAAACGCAGCAGCAGCAGCAACAACAGACCACTCTTCCACTTTAATTCTTTTGTTTGTTTTTTTTTTATGGATGAGGAATATTTTTCCTTCAAAACTCAAAAATTTTTTCAACACTTCGTTCTTTTATTTTTCTTTTGAAAAAACACAAGTATAACGGTTTTCTTTGCTTCGTTTGTTTAACGATCACCACCCGACTATTTACGGAATTGCGCGTAACGATCAACTTGACAGGCGAACGGCTCAGATGAATCTGAATTTTGAAAATGTTACTTTTTTTCAAATCGTAAAAAATTATGAAAACACAATAACACACACTCGCACACTCACACGCACGCAGAACGAAGGCACTAGCACTGGGCAATGGCAATGCAGCAACAAGAATAATAACAACAACTGCTGCGACGACAACGACAAAATAACCGCATTTAACCGAACCGACGACTATACAACACGATCGCTTAGCTGGCTGGCGGGCTGGCTACCTGGCTAGTAGCTACCTAAATGTAAATGAGTGAAAACCCAAAACATCAATAAAACCAATGAGAACCCGATCGGTATTGTAAGTAAATAAAACTGAATACCCTGGGTTTTGAAATAGAGAACGCATAGTGTTTTACAATTGTTATAAGAAAGAGAGCGAGAGAGAGTGAAAATGAGAGTATTCTCCTTAGATTTTAGATGGAGATAAGCCAAAAGAGCTTCAGACTTTAAACTGTTTGCTAGTTGTCTTCTCAATCAATCACTGATAATCAAATAATTCTTAGGGGATATGAAAGAGAGGGAATAGAGAGAGAGTGCCATAGAGAGACATTAATCGGACAGCAAGAATTGCTGTTAAAACTGTTCAACGGAAAAAACGAAAATCTCGGAAAATCTCATTTTCGCATAGAATACCCTACAACATTTTGTGGCACTTTTACATCTGAAGAACTCTTCTACACACAGAAGGCCTTCTGCCGCTCTTCTTTAACCAAAATACCTTTTGCAGCTTCTATTGCCAGAAGGCCTGCTGCAGCTCTTCTACGCCCAGAAGGCCTGTTTGAGCTCAGAAAAGCAGCTTCAGCTCCTCTAAAGCCAGAAGACCTTTTGCAGCCTTTCAATTGCCAGAAGGCCTTCTGCAGCCTTTCCATAGCTAGAAGGCCTTATGCGGCCTTTCAATAGCCAGAAGGCCTTCCACAGCCCTTCTATATCCAGAAGACCTTCCGCAGCTTTACTATATCTAGAAGACCTTCTGCAGCCTTCAGCTCTTCCAGAGCCAGAAGACCTGATTCAACTCTTCTATAGCCAAAAGACCTGCTACAGCTCTTCTATAGCCAAAAGGCGTGCATCAGCTCTTCTATAGCCAGAATACTCGCTTCAGCTCTTCTATGGGCAGAAGAGCTGCTTCAGCTTTTCTATAGCGAGCGATGGGCAGAAGAGCTGATTCAGTTCTTCTATGACCAGAAGGTCTTCTGCATCTTTCCTATGGCCAGAAGACCTTCTGCAGCTCTTCTATGACCAGAAGGCCTTCTGCAGCTGATTTACGGCCAGAAAGCCCTCTTCGGATCTTCTACAACCAGAAGACCTTTTTCGGCTCTTCTATAGCCAGAAAGCCTTCTTCAGATCTTACAGAGCCAGAAGGCCTTCTTCGGCTCTTCTACAACCAGAGGACCTTTTTCGGCTCTTCTATAGCCAGAAGTCCATCTTCTGTTCTTCTATGGCCAGAAGGCCTTCTTCAAGTCTTCTAAAGCCAAAAAAAAACTTTTTTCAGGTCTTCTATGCCCTTTAGCCCTTTATACGATTTTCTATGGCCAAAAGGGCTTATTCAGCTGCTTCATCTCTTCTATAGCTAGAAGACCTGCTTCAGCTCTTCTATAGCCCGAAGAGCTGCTTCAGCTCTTCTATAACCCGAAGAGCTGCTTCAGCTCTTCTATAGCCCGAAGAGCTGCTACAGCACTTCTATAGCCCGAAGAGCTGCTTCAGCACTTCTATAGCCCGAAGAGCTGCTTCAGCAAATCTATAGCCCGAAGAGCTGCTTCAGCTCTTCCAAAGCCAGAAGGCCTTGTTCGGCTCTTCTATAGCCAGAAGACCTGCTGCAGCTCTTCTATAGCCAGAAGACCTGCTGCAGCTCTTCTATAGCCAGAAGACCTGCTGCAGCTCTTCTATTGCCAGAAGACCTGCTTCAGCTCTTCTATGGGGCAGAAGACCTGCTTCAGCTCTTCTATGGGGCAGAAGACCTGCTTCAGCTCTTCTATGGGGCAGAAGACCTGCTTCAGCTCTTCTATGGGGCAGAAGACCTGCTTCAGCTCTTCTGTAGACAGAAGACCTGCTACAGCTCTTCTGTAGCTGGAAGACCTGCTACAGCTCTTCTGTAGCTAGAAGACCTGCTACAGCTCTTCTGTAGCTAGAAGACCTGCTACAGCTCTTCTGTAGCTAGAAGACCTGCTACAGCTCTTCTGTAGCTAGAAGACCTGCTACAGCTCTTCTATAGCCAGAAGACCTGCTTCATCTCTTCTATAGCTGAAAGAGCTGCTTTAGCTCTTCTATAGCTGGAAGAGCTGCTTTAGCTCTTCTATAGCTGGAAGAGCTGCTTTAGCTCTTCTTTACCTGGAAGAGCTGCTTTAGCTCTTCTATAGCTGGAAGAGCTGCTTTAGCTCTTCTATAGCTGGAAGAGCTTCTTTAGCTCTTCTATGGCCAGAAGATCTGCTGCAGCTCTTCTATGGCCAGAAGATCTGCTGCAGCTCTTCTATGGCAAGAAGATCTGCTGCAGCTCTTCTATGGCCAGAAGATCTGCTGCAGCTCTTCTATAGCCAGAAGACCTGCTGCAGCTCTTCTATAGCCAGAAGACCTGCTGCAACTCTTCTATTGCCAGAAGACCTGCTTCAGCTCTTCTATGGGGCAGAAGACCTGCTTCAGCTCTTCTATGGGGCAGAAGACCTGCTTCAGCTCTTCTTTGGCCGGAAGACCTGGCACAGCTCTTCTATGGCCAGAAGACCTTCTGCAGCTCTTTTACGGATAGAAGGCCTTCTGCAGCTCTTTTACGGATAGAAGGCCTTCTACAGCTCTTCTATGGCCAGAAGATCTGCTACAGCTCTTCTATGGCCAAAAGATCTGCTACAGCTCTTCTATGGACAGAATACCTGCTACAGCTCTTCTATGGACAGAAGACCTGCAACAGCTCTTCTATGGACAGAAGACCTGCAACAGCTCTTTTATAGCCAGAAAAGCTCCATCAGTTCTTCTATGGCCAGAAGACCTGCTTCAGCTCTTTTATAGCCAGAAAAGCTCCTTCAGCTCTTCTATAGCCAGAAGATCTATTGCAGATCTTTTATAGCCAGAAGACCTGCCTCACCTCTTCTATAGCCCGAAGGCCCTCTGAAACACTTCTATGGCCAGAAAACCTTCTGCAGCTCTTCTATGGCCAGAAAACCTTCTGCAGCTCTTCTATGGCCAGAAGACCTTCTGCAGATCTCATATGGCCAGAATGCCTTCTTCAAATCTTCCAAAACCAAAAAGCCTTCTTCAGGGCTTCTATGCCCTTTAGCCCTTTATGAGATTTTTCTATGGCCAAAAGGGCTCATTCAACCTTTCTATAGCCATAAGGTCTTCTTCAAGTATTTGAAAGCCTTCTTTAAGTCTTCTCTTGCCTTCTTCAGTTCTTCTATGGCCTTCGTCAGGTCTATTATGGCCTGCTTCGGCTACATCATCAGAGAGCGCAATCAGCCATAATCGAGCCGCAATCAGCCTTCTGGCAGTAAAAGAGCTGCAGAAGGCTTCTTCATCTCTTTCAAAGCCAGAAGGCCTTTTTCGGCTCTTCTTTGGTAAAATAACTGCTTCAGCTCTTCTATGGCCAGAAGACCTGCCTCACCTCTTCTATAGCCGAAAGTCTATCTTCGGCTCTTCTATGGCCAGAAGGCCTTCTATAGCCAGGAGGCCTTCTTCAAGTCTTCCAAAGCCAATAAGCCTTCTCCAGATCTTCTATGCCCTTTAGCCCTTTATAAGATTTACTTTGGCCAAAAGATCTTTTTCAGTCCTTCTATAACCAGATGGACTTCTTCAAGTCTTTCAAAGCCAAAAAGCCTTCTTAAGGTATTTTATGGCCTTCTTCAGGTCTTCTATGGCCTTCTTCAGGTCTTCTATGACCTTCTTCGGCTACATTCCTAAACAAAGGCATGTAGCGTAGAAACCTGTCGACAATGTCGAACTCTACCCCTTTTCCTCTTCAATTGCTTCTGATTTTCCCAAAATAGACCAATTGATAAGAGAAAGAGAGAGAGAGAGAGAGAGAGAGTAAAACAACAGCCATCTATTTGATTTTCTATTTTTGAATATTAAAACTTTATATTAGAAAAAATGCAACAAAAAAACTCACTCAAATACAAAGTGCAATCAATTTATGTAAAATAGACGAAAACTGGAATTTGTTGTTGAAAAATAAATTTTGAAATTTTTATACCCAAAAAAACCAGTAAGCGCTGGACAACAAACGAAAGCCACAAAAACAGGCCACTTTGTAAGACTTCAGATTACCATTACTAACATAATGCGTACAGTGGAGGTGTGGCATGAAAATGAAAGAGGGAAACTTGTTTTAGGAAAATGATTGGGGAAAGAGGTGTGTAAAGTTACAAGTTAACAATTTATCATTTATTAACCGTTCCAAATGTTTATTGTAAGAAAATCAATAACCAATCGATTCTTTCCTTCTTATTAACTTTCTTATCAACATCTAATGAGTTCTTGGCAGACATGCCATAGTAATTTCCGCGAACCCTCAACTAATGTATACCCCCTTCTCGGAAGGGGGAAAAAGTAAGACCACAAACATTAAATGTTTAGAAAATAAGCCGAAATTATTCATTGAACTAGGGGAAGATTCCTGGAAGTAAATAAAGCAACGACAAGGCCAATGAAACGGCACTGGGTCACAGGCTCCTCCCGCAATGTAAGGTGTAAAAAATAATTTACTTTCATAAAAATTGGAAATTTAGATCATCGTATTGGCGGCAAATTCCATTCCTGAGTATCAGATTGTTTGACAAAATCCTATCTCCATCAGGAAATATTCTTATAAAAGATTCTTCCCTTGAACTCTTCATAAACCCCTTTAACATTATTTGGGTTTATGTTATTGTTTTTATGTTGTTATGATTTTTTTTTCATACTTTTCCGTTGTAAAATAAATGTTTATTTTATTTAATATTTTTCTTGTTGTTGTCAATTGCCATCATCATCTTATCATTTCAGGTTTTCAGCCGCCCCAGACCGCTTGTATCTGAAAATTGTTTTGCTATTGATTTTTTTCTTTTTTTCTTTCGAAGAAGTGTTACTCT